CTTCTCTTGCAGATTAAGTATGGAAAATGGCAACTGAGTTTTCTATTTTAACAAGCAGCAAAAAAATAGTTGTAGCCTGATGTGTTTGAAATAATTTGCACTTTCTGTGATGTCGCTTTTGTGCATGCACACATTGCAATGTCGACACTGAAGCAGTATATTGTGTAACCCCAGCCAACAGCCATAACATATATAAATCTGATCATCCTCTCTAAGCGACATAAAAAGAATCGCATACTTTGAAGAGGGAAGAACACTGAAGTGTCAACAGCCGATGACGAGGATCAGATCGATGTGTTCTTCATTGTCCAAATGAGAAAAATAAGGCTCAGAATGCAGCCTGACAAACTCCCCGCCTTGCTTTTAAACTTCCACATATCGTCCAGTATATGCATAACAGATGGGAAAATGTAGGCATCTTCTCAATTAAGAAATGAGTTTGTGTGAAAGCTGCAAACGGAGAGAAAAGCTGGGAGCGACAAGCTGCCCCGAGAGACGCTAACAGGCAACAATGAAAATCAACATAATGACAACTTCGACTCAACTTGACACTTTCCCAAATCAATATTTAATCTGAGGAAGGCACATGGAGAAAAAGAAATGGTGGAGTCAGTGTTGAAGCAGTGTGTAAGCCTTGATCTGGGCTACATTTAGAATTAAGAAGAGCTGCAAACACAGAGGAAGCTAATTAAAACCAAAAAGCTGGAGGTTCTTTCCTTCGTTCTGACTGGATTAAAAAAATGTAATTCAGTGCGTGCCAACATTGAAAAAAAAGTTCAAACATCAGATCCGACATGGCATGAAAGTGACTGACAGGTATAAGGTGCGGATGAAACGGTTTGTTTGCTTCTTCACAGTCTGATAAACAGAGGATGGAGCGATCACGGCCTTCGTCTATTCATGGCGACAAAAGACGCGGCCCGGACACACATTCCAGTCTGCTTCCGCTCCAGCACACAAGCTCAATCCCGGGGATTTCCCTCCTTTCAAAGTGGGAGAAAAGAGGCTACAATATCACCTCCTTTAAATTGAGGGAGAGACCGGTGCGGGTAACCGGGTGGAGGGACTCCTGTCATTCACTCTTTGAGACGTTTCCTGATTTAGGTTTCACTGGAAGTCAGCGGCTCTCTGTCTGCTGTGAAGGAGAGGAGGGGTGAGAACATTTCAGGTTGTTCAAAGGATGGGAGGCTGATTGGTCACCATCACACTCCCACAGCTGTCTTCAATGTGTGAATCTGAGTCTGAAATTTTGCTGCCTTGTGTGTAGGTGAGCGTGTTTCCGGGCAAATCCAAATAATTTCACTCAAAGACTAATCATTAACAAACATACAACAGCATCTTGATCTTCTCTGAAACCAGCGAGAAGCCCAGTAATGAGTCCTCATAGCTGATAACTCCCAACTCCTGCAGTGTGGAGATGCAGTGACCAACAATAGAATAGCTTCTTATTACACTAAGGACTGAAATCGGGGGACTATTTGACAACTCAAGCAAGAAAAGATTGAAATAAGGGCTGCTCTGTGCTGTCTCTCTAATGGCATTTGCTTAGTCTTTTGGAAACAACAGAGGAGGCAGAGGGCCCTCGAACAATAAGCTTTAATAAAGACATTTCTCTGGGAACTTAAGCGTGATCGGCGTCACTATCAGTCGGTGTTTATCTCATTTTCGAGACTCCTTAATTGTGTGCGCCGCGAAGCCCAGACTCGTACACATGCGGCGTCGAGTGTGGACATCCAGACACTCGTTGGGCGCAGGGGCACACTTCAGTCTGGAGTGTCTGGTCTGAGCGGCTCTGTGAGACTGAGAAGCGTCTCCCTAATTAGAGGGAGCCTGGTGCAGGACATCTCTATAGGCCATCAACAGGGCCCTCGCCGGCTTTGTTCAGCAGCCTCTTCTTACACTGAAGCTGTCACTTTACTTTTCTATAGGGCCGGGCTCCTTAATAGTGTTGTCTGTGGCCAATCACTGGAACAGTTTGTGGATATTTTCAAGGTTAAAGCTGCAACAAAACAATCCCGTGATTCTATATTGAAGGAGAATCCGCTTCCTGATGTGTGTTTTTTGCACTTAAATTTAGATGTAGTTGACTCCAAAAAGCTCAAAACCTCCTGGCGAGAGACATTAAAAGGCGCTGCTTTGCTTTGTTTATCCGCCTAAGATGTCACGGTGTTTTAAGATGTAATTATTTCCAACTCATTTTTGCATATAAACCTAATTATTCACCGAGATATAAATTAGATTCCTCATTCACGGAGACCACGAAAAACCCCCCTAAACTCCTGCAGGACACCATTCAGCGGTGAGCCCTCATTCTCTCTCTCCCCTGCTCCCCTTTTCTCTGCGAGACCATGAGATGGAGAGTAGCCACTGCAGCTGCTATTCACATCAAGCAGATAATTGTTAATGAAAAGTCATTGCGTGGCATTATGTTGTCCACGGGATCATTGTTCATTTCCCCCCATCGCCACTGAGATCTATATGGAGGACCAGAGTGTTTCCTTTTGAGTTTTGGTATTCAGGATCTGTTGCCTGGAAACAAATAAAAGGGGGCAAATCATCCACTGTATTGGCCAAGATGGGCCGCAGACTGGCCCTGCACAACAATGCCAGGTTTGTAAAAAGGCGTTGATACAAGTTAATGACGCTTGTTCAACAAAACATTAATGGACTTCTTCACGGTATAATATGGCATGGGATGCGATGTGAATGAGAGGGGGGAACTTTAGTAGTGCACTTTAACAAGTTTGTGTGTTTTTTACTACTGGGAGGAGCTGGATGTACACTCACTCACACACACACACACACACACACAGACACACACGCACACACACACACACACCTTCTTCCTCCTCTTTGATGCACTTGCACTGAAAATTCTGCATTCCACCAAAAAATAAAACTTTTAAAGGGAATAAAGTTCTAAAGAAAATAAAATAATTTTCCTGTTATTGAATAGCCCAATGATTAATTGCCCATCACCAAGATCTGAAAGGGGTTGAATAGTGGAGGCTGCCCTATAAAGTAGAAGTAGGGCCTGGGAGATTTATAGATTTCAGAAATTCTTCTTCTTCTTTTTTTTCCATTTAATCTTAGGTTTAAACAGTAATATTGCACCCATTTGCTGCTCTGGCTTCTTAACTGAGGGAAGAAAAAGAAAAAAAAGAAAGAGTGCAGCCCTGTCACCCCGAGCAGAATAAAAGGAATCAAAGGATTTTTTCCCTTAAATGGACTAATTTTCTCCTTGAATTATGAAAGTAATGGCTAGGTAACAGCCTGTGCTCAGTACCCGACGGCTTAATGCTTCCTAAATCCTTCCACGTGGCTCCACTAGTCCTGGCAATTAGGCCTCATTATAGCCTCATAAAGGATCTCATTTGTGGGATTACTTAATAGACAATGAAATTTTATCGTGCAGAATTATGGAAAAATAATATTAGACCTCGCATGGTGTGATGAGGGCGCGCGCCACGCATCATTCCGCTTGGTTTGCTGCCTCTCTCTCTCTCCTCCTCTCTCTCTTCTCTCTGTGGATTTTAGACGCTTATCTGTACCATAACAACTGTGCGTCTTTCTTGTCAAACACTGGATTCACTTTATTATACCAATTACTGTCTCTGTGACAGACGTGGCTGCTTTTGCAAAGCTCCATCTCTACTCTGGTTGGATTTTAAAGAGTTTCTAATTCTTTCAAAGAGTGCCTCTAAAGTCATACTTCAGTACTTGCATGCTGGATACGATCATTTGGTGCGTAATGGGGATTAATATGGATGATTTATAGAAAAAAAGGAGCAAAATATGTTAAGGTTCGCATCAGACTCATTCTGCTTGTGTTTGTGAGGGTTTTTTTCTCCACCTGAGGTCAGAGGAGAAACTAACATACGGTGTGTTGGAGCTGGACCGTCTGCGCCATAAACCTACTGCCGGCTCGCCGCTCTGAAGGTCCGAGGCGTTACTTGGCAGATGAAAGCAGAAGCTAAACCTGCCCGGTGACCCGCCCGGGGGATCAAACTCGCTAATTATTGTCACAAGATGAGGGATTAACGCATTTCTGAAATAGCTGCCTGTTTACCCCCGCACAGACCGGCCATTATAAACACTTTCTAATTGAATCCTAATCGCTGTCAAATAACCGCAGCCCCAGACTCGCCATCACTTCATAATTCTTTAATTGCTGGAAGTGAAACCTGGACCAACCGGATTCTGAGCGTGATTAGGTTGCAAGGCAATTAGTGCTTATGGTCGCGTGAACAATTCTTTAAATCGCATTTGGAGAAAATAAATCGACAATTGAATAATTAAAACAACAACAACAACAAAAAAGTACGTCTGGATAAAGTCCATCATATCCTTTGCATGACTTTTTACGCAGAGATTTAGAAGAATAATCTGATCGAAGGTTGGATTTGGAAGAAAAAAATATTACTATTGGCCAGATGACATTTAATATGTTCCTTTTTTTAGATATTTATTTATGTTATGTACCAAGGCACATTTGCAAATTAAAGTTTACAAATTGTCATTTGACCTATGAACCAAATTCTCACAAATAAAATCTTAAGTACAGTGTTGCCATCTGTAAAATATATATATTTAAAAACCTCATTTAAAAATGTCACAGTTTGAAAATGATCAGACTAAACAGTTTAAGTGCTGATTGTGTCATTGCACAGCTTTCTACACAATCATGTAAAAGAAAATATTAACTTGTTGCTGTTTATATTAATCTAGCATTCAAGACTTTCCTAAATTCGGGATAAAAAAAAAAGAGTAAATCTGCAAGTTGTGATTGGAGGCCCAGATAGACATCACGTGGTTTGGGTCACTGACAGTATAAACCCTTGGAGCCGGGTGCGCACGTGGGTGACGCTGCAGGGCCAACCCTCTTCGGGGTCCCTTTTGTTGAACCATCAAACATAAGCACCTTTGGAGATCCCGAGGGGTTCAGATGAGAAACAGCTATCATCTTGCGCACGGAGCGATCACTTATCAGCGACGCAGTCATGTCGAGGTCTTTTTACGTCGACTCTTTAATAATCAAGGATACGGTGCGACCTGGACCGGCTGAGCATCCGGGACAAGACTTCCTTATTCCCATCAGCATGCACTCCCCGAGCGTAATGACGGTCACGGCTCCGGTGTGCCCGTCCAGGAAAAATGGGACTTTCTGCGTTTGCCCGCTGTGCGTCACGTCCCACATCCACTCTTCCCGCAGCGGCATTCCCATGCTGAAGAGTCAGTTTCCAGGAGCGGACACGCAGTACTGTCAGAGAATAGCGCACCAGCAGTCTCCCGCACTCGCGCACCCTGGACATACACCTGTCTGCACGCCCACCTTCAGCGTCACAGATCCCAGGAGATACCACTGTCTTTCTATTGGTAAGCACCTGTTAGCTACAGTCACAAGTTGGTCCGCTGTGAGGCACCTGTTTGATTGCTCTTACTACAGTTCATGTTGCACTTTCAATCACTGCTACGCTGTCCATCGGTTTTTACGCACGATGATTTACGCGCGATATTTTTGCGTAATTTGTCTTTAACTGAGCTCAAACTGACAAAAATAGTACACAGCTAAACGCCTAACTTAAAAATGTTTTTTTTTCCTCCAACAGGCGCCTCCGAGAACAACCACATACAGAATGGCAAGAGGATGCGCACGGCGTTCACAAGCACTCAACTCCTGGAACTTGAAAGGGAGTTTTCCACGAACATGTATCTCTCTAGGCTCAGAAGAATCGAAATCGCCACGTACTTGAACCTGTCAGAGAAGCAGGTGAAAATCTGGTTTCAGAATCGCAGGGTGAAGCACAAGAAGGAGGGCAAAGCCACGCAAAGGAGCGCACACAGCGGTTGCAAGTGCGCAACCGGCCACACAGACTATTCGAGGTCAGAGGACGAGGAGTCTCTGTCTCCGGTCTCTGCTTCGGAAGAGAAAGAGGTGTCACCCATCTGAGTCACCCAAGTCCCCGCTGCTGACAACTTACCCTGCCCTGCTGCAGTCATGAGTCATGGCATCGTGCAACCTCTGAGCCAAAAAAGAACCCTCCTGCATGAAGTCTGAGAAGAAGTGTTGAAAATATAAATTCATGTTCATCCTGCTGTTGAAAAAAAAAAAAAAAGTGAATAGATGTTCGTGAAATATTTGGAAACATGACCTTTGACTGTGTGTAATAGATTGCTGTTATTTGGATCCTCTTTGGGTTCTCACCTCCAGACCCAGGTCTTGTTAATTCTTTCAGAATGCTAAATATTCTCCAGTATTGCCGGATATCCCATTGCTGTCAGTGAGGTTGTGTGATATAAAGAAAGCCCTTAGAAATAGTATAGGTGTAAACGTGGAACCTGTACACAACAATTTGTAAACTATGTATATCTGTATTTATTGTAATAAACATGACGAGCTGACCTAAGAAACTGTCAGTGCATTGGCTTATTAAAATTATTTATGTGTTCAGTCATAAAATCTAAAATTAAAATTGCCAATATTTCTAGTCGTGATCATTAAGAGAAAATTGTAAAAAGTATTTTTGCACGAGTGAAAGTTTAACCAAAATGTGCCACAGAAATACATATTCTTTCCTTCATTATTGCTTCGAAATTCATATAAATACGCAGCAAAATAATTATTACATGTATATATAATTGCAGGGAGCACTGGCTCTACAGTTGCAGTGATGATTTAACTTCATCACACTGCAATCAAGCAAAACACCAACTGCGTCTTTAAAAAAAAAAAAAAAGATTCTTGTTTTGTTTTTGTTTTTTTGGCAACTTCATAAAAGTACATTTAAGTCTGAGAGCAGTTCTCTTCCAGATTTTAGCAGGAAAAACTTTCCAAAACTGTTTTCTATCCTGGCAGCTATTATTATTATCATTATTATTATTATTATTAAGCTGCCATTACCGCGCTCTTGGTGTTATGTTGGTACACTTCAATTTCCAGTGCGCGCATTTTTATTTAGAAACATCATGCAGCCGCGCTCAATTTACATGATCTGAGCTGCTTCAATTCAAAAGTGAGCTTTATGAAAGTGTAGCTGTAATTTCTCCTTAGATCCGACCACAAAAGGGTACCCGATAACGCCCCCGGGGAGCAGCCAATAGTCCATTAATGTTCGCTTTTGAAAAGATTTTGGTCGTCCAAAGCGAGTTTAATTGCGTTTTCGGTCCCACGTCGGTTGATTATGCTGCTTTTGCTTGAAACCACAGAACAAGGATATATAGAAGTGGGCAAAGGCTTTGACAGGTTAGATTGTCCTGCCTTGGGACTCGCATTTAGCCCCAGACCCCCCGACGGCTGTGTGCTCAGAGAGCTTTGAGGGACAGCTACAGGGTTCCTCCGAGCGACACAGAACGATTTAGTCACTGTTTCATTAGGCACTATTTGAACCTTTCAACTTATGGTGAATTAAAGGGGGCATGCTCAAATGGAAAGGACTCTGAGGAGGGATTACGTGGGAGGGGCCACTGGAAATTAGCTGACGCCTAATTTAACTCGTTTCTGTCAGAGTTTGGGATACATTCCTAATTGAGAGGGGAAGCAGGTGAAGTTTTGGTCCCACGCAGGCCCATTCAGAGCCCGAATAAATGGTCCCCTTTCACATCCCGCTGGTGATCATATATTATTGGGGGAAAGCCATCTAATGAATATATATTGAAGTTCCTATTAATCGAATTAGAGTTCCCTTGCAGGTGTGAAAGACCAATGCAGCATTTAAAGCGATTAACAATAGAATAAACCGCAGTTTTGAGAAAGACTCCCCCCTCCTTTCCTCTTTTCAGCCCCTCAGGACGTGACCTCAGACTGTAAGGCCACTATAATGGGAGCTGCTGAAGCTCATTTTGAGAATAGATCCATTTGTCCAGGTCGAATTATCCTCCAGAACTGTCACATTCGCTCCCCTCAAAAAACAACTCTGATCACATCGCTGTTTCCAAACAAAGTGTTTAAAAAATATAAAGCAAACTGTGGAATGTGTAAAACTTGGCAAGAAAGGGGTCCATACCTACTAACGCACAGGGGGAAAAAAGCCCACTCCAAAGACGTTAGGCCTCGACCACTATTGAAAATGTGGCAATTACGCATGACAAAAGACAATTAATAAGAGCGCTTTTCAGCCGGTTGCAGCTGCTGTCTCATGCGGAGAGATAGAGGCTAGAAGAAGCTCAAGTGCCCGAGAGGAAGAGGGGGAACAGCGTTGTCTTTTTTTTTTTTCCCTTCCAAGAGACGTCCACTTTATTTATCAATCAGCAGGGCTGCATTCATCCTCCATACACATGGTCTATACCGCTCATCTACACCTCATATGCGCAAAAGCTGAGAGAAGAGGGTCATTCGTCTAAAATGCGGAAAAGTTGTTTTTTTTTGGTTTTTTTTAACGTGCATCTGAAAGGATGATGGTCTGCTATTGCCAATCTGCAGTGGGAAATGTGTAACATTTAGGCTCCAGGATGTGGTATTTTGTGAATGATTGGAGGCTAATTTGCCAACATAATGTCAGGGAGGTGAGGAGTGTGTGTGTGTGTGTGTGTGTGTGTGTGTCTGGGGGTTGATAATTAATCATAATGGTGACCTTTCAACAGTAAAAGTCAAGTGGCTTCATCTATCTCTCCATAAACAAGGTCAGGTACGTTCACACACAGAGGTAGGGCCAGAACCACAAAAAGTCCTTCATTTGCTTAAAAATGTAATAATTACATTCTATTATTTGTTCAGTTCTTATGGTTAGACAACACAAGTGGCAGTAACTTGTGGATTTATGGTGCTTAGGTGGTGGTAATGTCAAGTCTGGTGTTGTGCTACAGGTTTTTTAAGTGTTATTCTTTCAGGCGTATTTCATTCATTAACTGTTTTTTTGTTATAAAAACTCACCTGTGTGCGGGTCAAAGCTGTTGAGTTTATCTTCAGTGCACTGCTTCACTGGGGTTAAAGCTGAAAAACATAAGATAGGAGATTTTGTTGAGCATATAGATGGACTGATAGACAATCACAGGTTATTAAATCTTAGGCTGCTGAAAATTGGCCTGCAAAAAAAAGATAAACTGAACCACAGCTCATCCTGTGTGATTTATGAAACAGGAAGCATGCCTTTTGACAAATACCATGTTATACTCAGGTATCAGAGGTTGATAGAACAGATAGGATGGAGGATCCAGAAAGCCATTCCAATAATTGTTATTGATGACGATTAGGTTGGATGGGTGGCTGATCTTTTTCTTTCTATACATTCAGGAGATACCAAATACACAGGACAAGATAATTACAGATCAAATCCAAATGTCAGCAGAATGGTTCAATGAATAAATTAAGCTGACACTACTTCAGTTTACTTCATAAATGCACTACCTTGGCATTTCCACTGTCTTTAT